CCCTTTCGGCATCCTTAGTCGCTGTCTCAGGGATGTCGAGGCTCGCGAAGTACTACATCAAGTCCATCAACAGCATTGTGCCACAACAGACATAGCCCTTTATCGGCGCCTTCAGTGCCAAGGTTACTATTGGCCCCAAATGTCAAGTCAGACTGCTGCGTTGCAACGTGCTTGTATCGCCTGCCAAAAGTGTCCTGATACAGCTGAAGTGCTGGAACTAGAGTTGGCTGATTGGCGAACTCCTTTCATCCGATATTTTCAGCATGGTCATCGACCGGACAATCCCACCTTAGCAACAAGGCTCAAACATCAGGCAACCCATTTCGTACTTACAGATGGTCGATTGTTCCGTATTTCTCGCGAAGGGAACCCCTTGTGATGCTTTACTGGGGTTAAAATACAAGAAGCACTTCGTCAAACCCACTCCCTTGAACATTAAGGTGCTTATAAACTGTTTCAACATTTGATTCAGAAGGGGCTGTACTGGCCAACCATGGAGTACGATGCCAAAGCACATGTTCAACAATGTAAGCCTTGTCAGTACTATCACCATCAAATCCATACCCACCCAACCAGGTTATATCCCCTCGCTGCCCCTTGGCCATTTCATACCTGGGGTTTGGATGTCATCGGCCCAATTAATCCTACGGTTCACCAAATGCACTGGATCCTCATTGCCACTGACTTCTTTTCCAAATGGGTTGAAGCTATACCCTTATGACATGTTACAGGCATTGTTGTTGCCTCTTTCATCCGAGAACACATCATTTGTCATTTTGGCATCCCCACAATCGTCTTGTCAGATAACGGAACACCTTTCGTCAATCATAGGGTTGCCCAGTTCCTACGACAATATAACATCAAGCAGCGCCAATCTTCTACCTACTACCCCAAGGGAAATGGCTAGGCTGAGATAACAAACAAATCTCTCCTCAATATACTCAATCGAACAGTAGTTGAGCACAAGTCCAACTGGGTTGATCAACTACCATTAGCCTTATGGGCTCATCGCACCTCAAAGAAAAAAGCAACTGGCCAAACTCCTTTCTCTCTCCTCTATGGAATGGAGGCTGTCATTCCAGTAAAAATTGCAATCCTTACTGCCGCTCTAGCGGCTCATAGCAAAGTTGATCATTTTACTCATCTCGAAGCCTTAGATGAGCGATGGGAATTGGCCAGACAACATCATCGAGTCTATCAAAATACTTTAGCCTAAGCTTACAACAAGCATGTCCGACCTCGAGAATTCCAGGTAGGTGATCTTGTTTTGAAAGCTGCTAAATATATTATGCGTTACTTGTCTGCCCAAAATTTACTCCCAACTGGGAAGGGCCTTTTATCCACAGAAATCCACCCTAGTGGATATTGTTGGTTACATGGTGATGGGCACAACGCCGAACCTATCAACACTTGTTGGCTAAAGCTCTATCATAGCTAGTTATATCGTATTGCCATTCTATGTAACTTATTTTCTCCTTTTCACATTAATAAAAATGCTCATACTTAGCCATGACACTTGATCAAAATATTGTCCTTTATTACTTTGCTTCAACTAGCTATTGCATTGGTCATTCGTTACATCATTAATAAGACAGTAAAATCGAGTAATCGACCCCAAGGTCATTATATGTAATACCCCTAATTTTGAAAGGTTATTCCTGGTATTTAACTGGTATTTAATTTATTATTTAATTGCATTTTATTTGATTATGTGTCATTTTATTGGATTATTTGTTTCATTTAAATTATATTGTGGTGATTATTGAATTAGTTGTATAATTTGAATTTACTATATTATTTGTGTAATTTGACTTATTTAAATTAAGTTAATTGCTTAATAATATGTAACTTGTATTAATTAACTATTTTAATTACTTTAATTATTTAATTGCTTCATTTAATTAATTCTCTGTTTATTTATTTTCTTCATTGTAACTTAGGGTTGTAGGATGTAACGTGGCCGACTTGTAGTTGGAATTTGATTAGGGTTAAGGTCTAAGCCTATAAATATGCATATTACAGTGGTTTACGGTTTTAGAAAAAAGTAAACGAAATTCTGTAAAACAGAGGCCGTGAGATACAGAGGGAAACAAAGAGAGATAGGAGAGGAAGGCTAAGTTGGATCAAGGAGGAAGGAACGTGATTTTGTGGAACAACAGTGGGGAGTTAGACGGACAATTCAGAGAACGGTGGTTTAGAGTTTCAAACTGAAACTCAAAGGCAAGTCTCTGTTCTACTCTTTCCCTTAAATCTGTGTTCTGTGCATGCCTAACTAGACTCCAGGGGTTTAATGAATGCTAAAATTGAGTAATTATGCATGCTTAGTTGGATTAAAACAGAGGGTGTATGACTTTGTTTTCATATTCCTGTTTTGAATGATTCTGAAAATTCTTGATGCACAATTGATGTTTAAGTTTAATCTTTGCATGTTAAAACATCTAAAATAGTTTAGTATGGACGTATGGGACTTAAGTTGAAGCTTAGAGGCTTTAACTATGGAGTTTTAGGGTTTACAGAGGCTGAACAGACGAAGAAGACGACTTCAGCACCAACTCAGCTGACTAAGTTGGAACTCAGCCGACTAAGTTGGCAACTCAACAAACTAAGTTGGTAACTCAGCCGACTAGGTTGGGAACTTAGCCTGTTAAGTTGGCAACTCAGCCAACTAAGTTGGACTGCGACCTGGATTTTGGTTTTAATTGCCCAGAATAATTTCTAAACCTATTTTAATTAAGCTAAATGGGTTTAATGGACTTAGGAATATCCCAGAATGCATCTTATATCTATATATGCTAAGAAGGTGGATGGTTTGGAAATTAAATAACTTATATGTTGTTTAGATCGGATGGAAGGGTAAATTTAATTGCTCTGACAATTGAAATTAATGTTTAAACGGATTACACAATGTTCATAAAACGTTATGTTGTTTATTTGAGATGTATGTTCGTGACTTGGAGGGTAAGTTAGCTGCATGCTATTTAAACTGTGGTATTACTTAAATAAATGCAATACTTATTTGTATGACGTGTATCATATTATCTGTGAATTAAATTGATATTTTATTTTTATATTGCATCATTTATTGGACTGGATGGTTTAATTTTATATCATAATATTTCTGGTTTAATTAATGTGTTATTATTTTGTTGCATCAATTGTTGGACTGGATGGATTAATGCACCGGTATGGGACGGTGGCATTCTAGGGACGGATTAACCAAAGAAGTTAAATCCTACCTAATCTAGATTAAGGTATGGATTAACCATAAGGGTTAAATTCATCTCCTACTTGTGTCATGTTAATAAAATAATTGAATGGCGTACTTTGGTTTCTGGATGGATTGTTATACAGGTATCAAACCACTATACCAGATGGATGATATTTTGTATTAGGAGGACACAGACTTTATATATTTATGTTATGGTGCCATGGTATGAGCTTGACTTTCAGGATCATGGTTAGGGTGCGTATATCGCCTAGGATGGATAGCTGGACAGTAGTTACTGTTTCCTGGTAGGTCTAGGTACTCATAACCACGTAATGTGCAATTTGCATGGTATCTCTACTCAGGCTGAGACAGACTTATTGGACTAATGAGCATCCTATAGTGTTTAATATATACATATATGGACTACTCTAGATATTGTTGAGTCTATCTAGGATGTATCTGCGTATCGGATTCCTGTTTGGATCGTAGTAGAATAGGACTTGCATGTGGGCCTGACCCACTTTTTTATTTTTCAGGTGCTCGTCAGTTCTAGGGTTAGAGCTTGGTCGTGTAGAGTAAATACAGATTTCTATTCCACCGACTACGTAGGATTGCTTACTTATCAGCTTTGGATCTTATTTCAGTTATTTTATTTTACAGTTGGGATTTTTACTAGGGGTCCACTTGATAAATTCCCGAGTTGTTAATTAATTGGAGGTTTCAGATTAGTGGATTTTAAGATTTAATATTTAAGGATTTTATTTAGTTTCCTTCTAGCTATTAATTATTTCTTATTCAGTTTTGTAATATGTGTTCGTTTTAAATATTAATTGTTTGATATTCCCTCGGGTTTGGGCCTGAGCCTTATCAACCCGAGTCTCGGATCCGAGAGGTATCATAGTTGCTATCAGAGCACTCCTACAAATATTTGATGATCATCATCGCTGGCCTTCTTCGCAGAACGTTCCATATCTATTTCCTCACGCTCCACTTCAATAACAGTTTGGTCTGTTACATTAAAATTTCTCTCGACACCAACATTGCTGCGATTTGCACTGCTTGTTACACTATTTTTCCCACTATCCACTTCCTCATCGGTCGATCGTTTGTTCATAGCACTATTTGATCCCTCTACCGACGATTGTGGTTGAACTCCCGCCTCGTTCATCCCTACACTTCCTTCAATCCATGTCCTCGATCCTCACAGTATCCCCTAATGTTCGCTCGTCCAACACTTCATCTTCTACAGGGTTTGCCAATGGATGATACTCCAGAAGCAACGGCGTAGGTGCTCTGGGTATTGAAGGCTCCTCAACCTGGGGCATACGGAGTATTCGAACTGATTGCCTCACTTCCCAGCCTGGTCGATTACCTGCCACAGTTTATTTACAACACCCATTAGTTTACCATAACAAAATTCCTTATGCACAGCACAGATTGGACGGTTTAGATACTTACCCATCATCACATTCTCGTCTGGCGAAGTTATTGCTATCATCAAACGCCTCAAGATTTCGCTCCTCGAGCCACCAGCTGCCCCCATACTCCCAATAAAAAAACACTTTCACCAGTCGATGAGTTAGCTGTACCATCCGCTCGATCAGTTTCATCATCACTTATGTGCACAACTTCCTCTGAACTTTCACTCTCCGATAGATTCACTACCGCTGCCTTTCGTTTACGCTGAACCAGATTTATGAATGGTTCATCGCTTTCATCGTTTAACATATCCTTTGCTTGTTCCTTACCACCTCTCGACTTAACTGGAACCTCCAATGGGGCCACACTTGGCCTAGCGGTAGTATATATGGCCTCTACTTGCTCGGGGATTGACAGGAATCCCAGCCATAGCAGCCTCTGGCACTGCAACATATGTCACCTCACCCATTTCTGAAGCTAAGGGAGCCATAATCGAGCGATTCCCTCGCAATCCATTGCGTAGTAAACGCAATGACACATCATCCTTGTAAACTGGTGCAGGCTCACATGGCTGGGGCACTTGTAAACATAATATTTTGAATCTCTCCACGCAATGCTCCCGGAACGCTTGATAGCCCTCTATAATATCACCCAAGCGTAATCGAGCAGGAATCATTACATACTCTATACCTTCTTCTGACAAATCATACTGCACTGAGAAGCGATACAAAGTTTCTTCCAACTCTTCATACTTTTCTATAAGATCACACGCCCTTGGCACACCCTGGTCAAACCCAAATTGCCTCGGCACACGCCTGGGGTTGTACACCTTTAACACATCACCCAGCTTAAATCACCCAGGTAGATAGCATAGAGTCATCATCAGAGCAAACGACTATTCATCACGATTGCAGGGCTTCTGCCTTGGGTTGAACACCCTCGAATCCTCCCAATACAACAGTACGTCGATTACTCTAGCCACTTTGTCCTTGTACAGCCTGAAAACAAATTCTGGTTCTGAGTCGATCACATTGCTTAAAGGAACTCGCCATGTGCGACCAATCCAGCGCTTTCCTTGCGCCCCTTCCGGCTCTCCCAATTCCAGAGGCAAGGGGCCATAAGAAGGAAATCGCTTATATAAGAACATCTGCAGAAACCCAATGGCTAAATAGGACATTATAGGATATCGCCCCACAGATCGCATGCAATCTTTTGCTACCATGTCTAAACGATGGTATAAGGTCCCTAAGAATAGGGGACCTAAAGGGAGAGCAACACCACTGGCTATCTTCACAGCTATCTGACACCACCTGCTTAGCGGCGCATCATTAGGAGTACCAGGAAAAATATACTTTGATAGCCAGCATAGCACATATGCTGCCAATTCTGCGGGATGTCCAATTTTCTCTCCATCGATCGCTGGGCGCTAAGATTTGTCACTTTTAAACGAAGGCTACAAGTCTTTGAAAAAATACCGGATCCAAGCCCCAGTCATGTTCTTTCCAGCACCTTCACTCCTTTCCTTGCGCCGTCCTCCCTTCGATCCAAAAAAGGATCCATAATTTTTCATTTTTTCTAAACCCTCCTCCAACACTTCCAGGATAACTTGTTCTACCTCATCTAACTTTAGAGGCATAGAAAATTCCCCACCAATCACATGCAGACCCAACAGATGAACAACATCCTCCAAAGTCGGAGTAAACTTGCCCCACTTTGTAATAAAAGTATGGGTTGCGCTATACCATCGCGACAACAGCAAATCTAATCCAACAGGATCTCTAGGTACTTTGAGAATTCGACACAAACGCATGGCTCGAGCAACTCTCGCCTGGCGCAACCAATTCACATACGACTTATGTGCAAAAATGTGATCTGTCCACTCTTCCCAACCACTACATGGCCCAACCGGTGCTTTAAAATCCAAAAAATAGTACGGGTACATACCTTGCTCAATAGCAAAACGTTGCACACTAACTGCTAGCGGCCTAACCCCTTCTTGATGGAGCTTTCCTTCTCCATCAATTGAGCAACTCCGCTATCTATTCCCTCCATAACAACATCCCCGGTGGATGTCCAGAACCCATCTGATGGCCCAAAATACGGCGCCTTGCGCCACTCTGACTCCGGCGACACCTTCGGTACTGGTTCACCGGTCTTACTTAGAGCCTTCCTCTTCGTCATTTACTACTTTGTCTCACTTAAAACAACGAAGCTTTTGACGTAGAATGGTTTCTTTTCACTTTTTTTCCCTCTCTTACTTTCTCTTTCTTTTTTCTTCCCAAAGCTCGGTTTATATAGACATGGCAGTTTTCAGTTATGTTGGGGAAGAAGACACCCAAAACGTCACACCCACTAACGCCATCATGCTCTAACCGAAACGTCACTTAAATCATTACCTCAACTAACATAGGTAACATAAACCCATGTTTCCCAAAGTTATCACACCCACGTCTCTTTGCACGCGCCCCATTTTCAAAATTCAAAAGTGGCATGTGCAGGGGGACTAAATGTGGATGCATTAGAGCCACGTCACCAACCCACGTCACCTACTAGTCATTTAAATGGCCCCCACGAATCATTACACCAAAGCAGGAAGGACAAAATCATAAAGAGTGGGTCGAGGAATACAGCGACCCAACCACGAACCGATGACAGACGGACCTAGAGCCTCGATCCGACCCAAGTACGAACTGTCGATCGATGGACCCAGAGCCTCGATCCGACCTAACTACGAACCTTCGATCGACGGACCCAGAGCCTCGATCTGATCCAAGTACGAACCTTCGATCGACGGACCCAGAGCCTCGATCCGACCCAAGTACGAACCTTCGATTGACGGACCCAGAGCCTCGATCCGACCCAAGTACGAACCTTCGATTGACGGACCCAGAGCCTCAATCCGACCTAAGTACGAACCGTTGATCGACGAACCCAAAGCCTCGATCCGACCCAAGTTCGAACCGTCGATCGATGGACCCAGAGCCTCGATCCGACACAAGTACGAACCATCGATCGACGGACCCAAAGCCTCGATCTGACCTAAGTACGAACCGTCGATCGACGGACCCAGAGCCTTGATTCGACCCAAGTACAAACCGACGATCGCTAGACCCAGAGCCTTGATACGACCCAAGTAGGAACCGTCGATCGACGGACCCAGAGCTTCGATCCGACCCAAGTACGAACCGTCGATCGATGAACCCAGAGCTTCGATCCAACCCAAGTACGAACCGTCGATCGACGAACCCAGAGCCTCGATCCGACCTAAACAAGAACCATCGATCGACGCGCCCAAAGCCTCGATCTAACCAAGTACGAACCGTCGATCGACGGGCCCAGAGCCTTGATCTAACCAAATATGAATTATCGATCGACGGGCCAAGAACCTCGATTCGACCTAATTAAAAGTTGTCAATCGACGAACTCAGGACTCCGACTCGACTTGAGGGGCTCAAACTAATCAAAACGAGGAGTAAATGGTAGGACTTGCTTCTTTGTCAGGGGAAATACAGAAGGGACTTTGGATTGGAGGAAAGAAATCTAGTCAAGTCTTGCAAAGCAAGACCCAAGTCAAGATCAGAGTGAGAGATAACCGGAGTAAAAGTTGTTACCATTATGCTTAAATCCTGCCTAGGTCATTTAAGGGAACGTTACACTCATTTAGAGGATTTTGAAGGATAGGAGTTAGGGCAGCGTGATTTTAATGATTGCGTGAGTCCTACCTTATTTGGAAGAAAACCTAATAAGTGCTAATTAAATCCCCTTCACTGACTTAAGGCTATAAATGGAAGAAAGTTGGGGCAGGCGAAGACAGAAAAACAAGAGGCTTCTAGCATCATCTCTCCTACCATCACTCCAATCCTTGATTTCGGGCTAAATTTCTCTCCCGTTTTTTGCTCTTCTACTTTCCTCACATTGTTTTGAGTGATATACCCCAGGTTTAATTGACTTTTCAACAGTGTTCCAAGGAATCAATACCTACAAAGTCTTTATGAAAAGGTTGTGTTAGGCTGAGCCCCGCGAAAAGTGCCGCACGAGCCGTCCTGCTATGCACGAAACTCGAGGCCGTGACAACAGCCATGCATGAAACTGATGTTTGACTTCTTCACCTTTTGAAAAATAATAATCGGCCTAACTGACTCACTATTTGCAAATTCATTCAATGTTTCTACTCTATTTGCAAACATAAAAGGTAAATAATCCACCACAATTTAATATTCATTCAATGTTTCTACTCTATTTGCAAACATAAAAGGTAAATAATCCACCACAATTTAATAAAGTAAATCTACTTCATTAAATGATTGGATTTACCCAATCATGCAATAAAATAAATATGGTCATTAGATAAGTGGGAACTTTTTTTGAACCTTATATTTATATTTATTTTATTATTATTATTTTTAACAGTGACAATGAACTTATAAACTTACTTTTGCACTTATAAGTGCTTGAACCCATAACCTTTTGTATCGGACTCCAAACTCAAAAAATTATAGTTAAAATATAGACTTTGAATGTGACATATGCTAGCTCGGGTACAACTCATACCATTTCTTTTTGTAATTTTACAACATAAAACACTTTGATAAATAATTTAGACGAAATTATTTGTCATTTAAAAGAAATAGAACCTCAAAATAAAGCTCACACTCGTTTAATGATAAAACAAAAGACTAACACTCATGCTTTCAAATGAATCAAATTATTGTCTTTTCTGCTCTTACATTTCATAAATATTTATATCATTTGCAGGCTTTATTCAATTTGAAAATTAAAAAATTAGGAGTGAGTAATTAATTCGTGAATTCACAAATTTGATCTGATCCATGCAAATCGAATCGAATTGCTATACCCACAAATCAAATCGGATATTCTTCTTTTTAACTCTTTTTTTGTGCATGTTTATAGCAAGAGTAATCAACTTTTTCCCGCGGTTAGTACAACTTCAACGCGTTTACTCTGATGAATTAAATATAATAATAAACTTTTGGTATCCGAGTGGTCTTATTAGACCACTTTGCTCCAATTAGGAATGCTTTTATAGTTTTGGAATTTTCCACCGCCACAGGCATGAAAACAATTTTTAAAATATACTTTTAATTTGAAAATTCTGCATGCATTTTCCCTTCAAGTGTCACATGAAGCGAATTTTCAAATAAGATTATAAATATATTTTGATCATGATTGAATATCTATTAATAACAAGATAAATTTAAAATTAGTGCAATTATATACAAATTACGTGTAAGTTCACAACACGATCTAAGTTAACCCTTTATCACTGGACATTGGTTTCCTTAAACTATAGGTATTTTTGTTCATTAATTATTGAAAAAAAAAATTACGAAACTTATTATAGAAGGAGATGTAACTTGTAAGGGTTTGTCGTCCCTCACAGTTAGCGTTTGTGTAATTGTGTGTATAAGTATTTACCTAATTTCATGTTATTAATTAGAAAACAATGAATTGGTGAGTTGAATTATTGAGAATTTAATTACATATTTTGACCTAATTAATTTTAATTTTAATTTTTTTATTTGAAGTAAAAAGAAAAACAAGTTGACTATGGATATGCATGCATAATAAGAAAATGACGAATTGTGGAAGAACACACACACACACACATATATATATATATATATATATATATATAATGTCTTAGCTCAGTTTCCTCTTTAAGGCCATCCGCGGTGGGCTCGCGGAAGGCCCTTTCCGCGAGCCAAACCAATTTTCTCTCCTCTAGCGGGCTCGTGAAAATAGTAGGGCCCAGATTAGGCTCGCGGGCCGGCTCGCGGTATTCCGCGAGCCGGCCCACGATAGTGATAATTTTTTTTTTTGTTTTTTCTGGTTTGAAACGGCGCCGTTTGGGCTGCCTTTTTTGGTCCAAATGCAAGGCAGTTTCCAAACAGTGCAGATATTTTTTATAAAAAAAAAAACCTTAAAATAGGTTATTTAGAGCTATTTTTTTTGGGAAAAAAATAAAATTAAATTCATTAAATAAAAAACATATTGTTTAGGCATTGTTTGTTCCAAAAAAAAAAAAAATTGGGCCAAAAATATATTAAAAAACTTTTTTTTTTTGTTTTTTTCCCTTAAAATTTGTTTTTTTTTAAAAAATTTTTTTGCTTTAAATTTTAAATTTGTAGGCCAAATAGTGTATTTGGCCATTAAGACACTATTTCTACAGTACCAAACAGTGCCTTAACGGCTATAATTTTTTTAAAAAGTTTAAAAATTCAAATTTTACCTTTTAAAATTTGGTTTTTTTTTTTTATATATATTTTTGCTTTAAATTTAAATGAGTAGGCCAAATAGTGTATTTGGCCGTTAAGGCACAGTTTCTACAGTACCAAACAATGCCTTAATGGCTATAATTTTTAAAAAAAGTTTAAAAATTCAAATTTTATAACTTTATTCAAAAAAAAAATTAAATTAAATTAAAATTTTTAAAATCTCTATAAATACCCCAATTTCTATCATTACTCATCACATCTCTATTATCTACCATTCACTTATTTCTTCTTCTATTTTCTCAATCTTAGATATTATTTTCAAAGTCATTTCGATTCCATGGATCCTCGACATCCATATTATTACAGCACCCAATTCAACCCATCAAACGATGAGTTTTTGCCATTTCCCGAAGAGAATATCAATTTTCATGGAGAAGATTCTCATTTTCCTTCTCATCAACCATCCCAACCTTCTCATCAATATTGTGGTACTAGTGTTCCACAATCAAGTAACTCAAAACCCCTGTCAAAACAACCGTTTACCCGACTTAATAATTGGACCAAGGCTGAAGATGAAGCTTTATATTGGGCGTGGTTGTCCATTACCTCTGATGCGATTACGGGGGCAAACCAAAGTAAGAAGAAGTTATGGGAGCGAATTTTGGAACAATATATACAACATATTGGTGTTCCTCCAACTGAGCGAAATGATATAGCTTTGATGAATCGTTAGTCGGTGATCCAACAAAAAATCAGTAAATTTTCCGGCTGCATGACTACCATAGAAATGAATCGTCCCAGCGGCTTCAGCAGTGATGATATGGTGAGTTATTTATTGTTTAAATATAACTCGTAAATATTTTAAATAGTCAGCTTTTAATTTTTTGTTATTTTTTTCGTATAGATGATAGCAGCTAAAGACCTGTTTCGTAGCCAAACGGGTGGTCAATTTAAGTTAGAAAGTTATTGGGAGATCTTGAAGCATAACAATAAATGGAATTCACATTGTGCCGAACAAGTAGGAAAAGGAAAAAAGAAAAAAGAGCCAAAGAAGAGGAGTGGATTTGACTTTGACATTAATGAGTCTATTGGGCAGTCATTACCATCTACTCCATCAAGTCATGCAGCCACGACAGATGGAGCTTCAACTGAAGAATCACCACACATAGGGGAAAATGATTCACCCGGTGTGGAAGAATATCAACTACAAAGACTACCAGGAAGAAAAGCGGGGAAGCAGCGTCGAGCAAAAATTAATTCAGCGAATGAATTGCAAACTTCATTCATTTCGAAATTTAATAATATCACCACTCGTTTTGAGAGTCGTCAGGAGAAAATGCAGGATGCCTAAGTGGCACGAGAGGTAAGAAAAATGGAGAAAGAGAAGACAAGGCAGCTAGAGATTAAAGAGAAACAGAGACTTGAAGAGAAGGAGCTTATGTTAACAGATCCAAATTCGACACCAACAGAAGCGGGGAAAGCTTGGATTATTGCACGACAAAATGAGATATTGGCATCTTTGAATTCACGGTCCGCCCCAAAGTTCCCATAGGATTTTGTAATCCTTGGTCTATTTATTTTCTTATTCCAATTTAGGATATTGTATTGTTTAAGTTATTTTTAATTGTTTTATTTAATTTTATTTAATTTTATTTTTTATTTTTTATTTTTTAATCCATAATGGATAATGTACTATTTCAAGTTCTAATATCAATTGTAGTTTTTTTAATAATTTACAAAAATATTGTTCGATTGAAAAATGTTGCCGTTGAGCAAATATAACCGTTGCAAATATAGCCGTTTAGGAAAAGTTTAAAAAAAAAAAAAATTTTAATATTAATTTATTATTATTATTTTTTTTGAAGAGCGAAAATTCGGAGAGTCTGATGGAGTGCATGTTTTTGGAGAGCGAAAACTGCTGACGTGGCTCTTGGAATTGCTGATGTAGCTCTTGGAAAAGCTGATGTGGCATTTTTAAAGAGTCAAAATTCGGAGAGCCTGGTGCAAATGGTCTAAAAGAGCAATGCTAAAAGTAAAACGTTCTTGTCCGTTCAAAGTTCAAATTGAGTGCTTGACTTTACAAAGGATTTCATCCTTAATGAAAATGCCAGTTCGCTCGTGATATTTTTCATTCAATATAAAGGAACCAACCAAAGAAGAAATTAAGTGCATCATGGCTCTGTACCATCTACAACTGTCGTGTCTTTATTATGCATTCTTTTCATAGACAAAAGAAAAAATATACGGAGTAATATAAAATTAAGAAAAAAAAAATAATGGTTTCATTTTATTATCTATTAAATACTTATAGATTAGCAAATTTATATAAATGCAAATGGGTTTACGGTCACACGGTACTACCTTTCAGGAGTCACCCATAATAGTATTATTTCAGGTAAAAGGGTAAAAGGTATTGAATCTATATATAACACTTGTTCCATCTATATTCATGTGATATAAGATTATATATCTGTAACTCGCCTAATGTAATAGCCTACCAATACCTCGCGCCCGCCTACAAAATAGACATATTGAGCCATTCAAATAATAAAAAAAAAAATTGGACTTTGAGAATAAAAAGAAATAAAGAATATAAGGCCAACTAATTGATGTGGCAAACGCGGTTGATGTTGTTTTCTATCTACCCTTGTGTGCACATAAATCCACACCCCTCTTTTCTTCCTTTTGAACTTTCTCAAAAGTCTCTCCTTGGGTTTTTCATATTTCAATCTTTCAAATAAATCAATTTTCTTTCTATTTTCCGGTTACCATTTTTTCTTTCCCGTCTTGCCCCCAACCCACCGTTTTAACCACCATCCCTATCCCCCATCTCTCTCTCTCTGAATTTTTCTCTCTACAGTCTCTGTATATGTAGCGGCTGAATTGGAGTTACAGAGAAGATGGAGTCTCTCTTCAACACAGACTCAGCCACCACTTTCAAGAAGATATTCACTCATCTTCTCTTTGTATCTCTGGTTTTGAACTGTTTTATTGAATTTAGATCCGTCGCTCAACTTCTACCAGATGAAGAAGGTACAAATTCAATTCCTAACTCTCTCTATCAGCTTAATCGATTTGTGTGCTTTCTCTGTTATTATCTTCATTAATCTCTCTGTTTTGCTTCCATAGATTAAGACCTTCACCAATGAATATGCTCGTACTATTCTCTATTGATCTCTGGGAATTGATGCGTTTTATTTAAAATTCAAGTGTTTATTTTGGTTAAACTATATATGCTGCCTTGGTTCAGTCAAGTGTGATTTTACATTTTTAGTTAATTGATTAGCACAATTCAATGCAAAATGGCCATGGAACTGTATTGAAATTGGTGGTCATCCATCTTTTATCTCATTAGCATTAGCCACAAACTCAGAGGAGATTAGGCAGTTCAAGATTCTCACGTTTCAATTAATTGATTTATTTTATTTTTCAAGTATTGCTGCATTGACTCTATTGGATTGCAATAATTGCATCATGGGCCTTCTGGTTATCAAAGTACACTCTTTGGAGGTTGGTCCCACTTTCCTTGCTATGTGATTGCAAGAATCGCAACCCCCAGACACGCGAATGCAGCGGTACAATACAAATGTTATGTCATATTCAGTACTTGGAGTTATTGAGCACCAAAACCTATTGGATATTATATTAACATGGAGAATATGGTGCGCTACTGTACTGGCGGTCATTTTGTTTAGGGTAAAGTATAGAGACACCCCTGAGGCTTGGGGTAAGAACAAAAAGAGAAAAGTTTGCCTATTTTGGAACAAAGACATCCCCTGAGATTTGATAAAGCTACCAAAGACACCCAAATGATAATAAAATAACATTTTTAACCCTCTGACTTTTATATTGACCAAATTAATTGTTGAAATTACCTTTCTACCCTTAAATCCATACCCATTTCTTTCCTTCTCTCCTTTCTATTCTCTTCCTCCTCTTACTTGAAGGTATTTTTGGACAACAAATACCTTCAAGTACGTACGTGGGTAACCAATATGCATTGAACCCATTTGCATAGTAAGGACTACCATTCAACATAAGTTGTACTCCTCTGCTTCCAATGAACCCATCCTCTGCTTCTACTTGGAGAAATATCCCCAAGAAAAGAACCAAGAAAACCAAACTCCAAAGCTTCTCTCTAAATGCAGATTTCTCTCTCTAAATAAACTTAATATGAGAATATATCTCTCCTAATATAGAAGCAAGCTCTCTATCTTGCAATAAAGGAGTTCATAAAGTTTGTAATTGTAAATTTAGTTGTCGAAACAAATGTATTAAATAATGAAATCCCCACCTTCCTTTTTTATAGGTTAAGAAATAGTTGCATGCTTTATTCATTAATTAATGTATTCATATTATTTGCATTCTAAAATTTTATTAGATTTTTTTTTTTTTTTTTTAAATTGAGTTTTTAAAATATTATCAACCAAACAAATTCTGTATTATTTTTTATTCTTTTAAAATAGAAATTATTTTCAAAAAATTAAACCAAATAAATGGTATACATTTCAAATAAAACTGTACCACTTTTATGCTAATTTATGCTTATTTCAAATATTAAAAATTAAAAGAAGACCTTATTTTATTTTATTTTTTAAAGGTAAAACAAAACCTTATTGTAGATTGGAAAGGAAGTAACATTTATTTGACAAGTGCCTTCAAGTAGTCACCCACGTATGTACTTGAAGGTATTTGTTGTCCAAAAATACCTTTAAGTAAGAGGAGGAAGAAAACAAAGAGGAGAGAAGGAAAGAAATGGATATGGGTTTGAGGGTAGAAAGGTCATTTCAACAGTCAATTTGGTCAATATAAAAGTCAGAGGGTTAAAAATGTCAATTCATTATTATTGGGGTGTCTTTGGTAGCTCTATCAAATTTCAGGGGGTGTCTTTGTCCCAAAATAGACAAACTTTCCTCTCTCTGTCCTTACCCCAAACCTCAGGGGGTGTCTTTGTACTTTACCCTTTTATTTATTTATTTATTACTTATTTATTATTATTATTATTATCATTATTTTTGTACAAAATATTATGCATCAGATTGATGCTTTGGAGAATCAGACATTTATAATGTAAGAAAAATTATTTTTAAATAACAATACTCATAATATAAATCTGCCAACCTTTATGTTGAATTTTGTGGCTTAAAATTTACAATTCAGCAAGTCTTACATCACCCATGACTTCATCTTCTTGGCCTCCAAGTTTGAGTGCTCAGCAAGCCTTTTTCGTGGTCACCAACTAGCCTCATCAGCATGTATTTTGGTGACCCATTGTTGGCTATAAATAGCCATGTCTCTCATGCTTGATCATCATCCGAAAATCATTTCATTAATTGAGTGAATTATCAGTGTTAGTTAGTGTGTAAGAGATTTTGGGTGTAATTAGGTTTTGGGTGTGAGCCACTTTGCCTTGTATCTCTTTATTTTCATACGAAATATTGTTCTGTCTTCTCCCCGTGGACGTAGGTATAGCCAAACCACGTAAATCATTGTCTCATTTGTTTGTGTGCCTATTTAATTTCTTGTCATTAATTTTCTCTTTTGTTCTCATAAACTCATATTCGATCCTTTTTTCATAACAATCTGGCATCAGAGCTCGGGTTCGTGTATTGTGTACATATACTGTTCACATATACTATTCGGGTACTGTTCACAAATACGGTACTATTTATCGAGAAATTTTTTGGAGAGTTTTTTGAGATGTCGACCATATACGAAATTGAGAAATTTGATGTCAAGATTAGCTTCAGTCTTTGGCGCATTAAGATGCAGGCCTTGCTGACCAAACAAGGTCTAAAGAAGGTGTTGTTCGGGAAGGACAAGTTGCCAACAACTATGTCCAATGAAGATACGGATGAGGTCGATGAAAAGACTCGCAGTGCGATTATTTTGAATCTAGCTGATGAGGTGCTGCGTGAAGTTATTGATGAAGACACGACGGCAAAGTTGTGGCTGAAATTGGAGAGTCTGTATATGACGAAGTCTCTCGCTAACAGACTTTACCTGAAACAAAGACTCTACACCCTTCGTATGAAGGATGGTATGCCTCTTAAGGAGCCTATTGATAATTTCAATTCTATTATTATAGATTTGAAAAATACTGATATTAAAATTGATGACGAGGATCAAACCCTTATTTTGTTGTGTTCTTTGCCTCCTTCCTATGAGCATTTTGTTACCACATTGCTCTATGGAAAAGACACTATTAGCATGGAGGATATTAAATCCTCATTGAACTCTCAGGAGTTGAGGAAAAAGGTGTCTGGGAATATTGGAGATGAACAGGCCGAGGGTCTATATGTAAGAGGCAAAAGTGAGACAAAGAGTTCTGGTAGTAGGGGCAGGTCTAGATCTCATAAAAATGTGGAATGTTATTACTGTCATGAGATAGGGCACATCATCAAGCACTGTCCCAAACTAAAGGCAAAGAATGGGAATGGCAAATAGAAGGTTCAAGAAGCAGCTTCTGTGGCAACTGCTATAACGAGTGATTCGGAAAGTGACGAATATGTTCTCATGACAACCTTATGTTCAGGTATGACATTTAATGACAGTTGAATTCTTGATTCTGGTTATTCCATTCATATGTGTCCTAGGAGGGATTCTTTCTCTTCCTATAAAGAGGTGAAATGTGGTTCGATTTTGACGGCGGACAGGAAAGCTTTCAAAATTTTAGGAATTGGAACAGTCAAGATCAAGACACACAATGGGTTAGTGAGAATATTGTCAGATGTGTGACATATACCGGATCTGAAGATGAATCTTATTTCAGTAGGTGTGCTAGACTCCAAAGGTTACAAGGTTGTAACAGAAGGTGGAGCAATGATAGTCGTGATGGATTCTCTTGTGGTGCTACAGGGCACCATGGTGAAAATTTTGTATCTTCGTCAAGGGAATATAGTAACAGGTGGAGCTTCTACAAGGTCTTCTACAATTAGCAGAAATCTGCGTTCAGGTTTTAGTAAAAGAAGAGTTATAAAGAGGAGTGACGATCCTAGTTCTCAAAAGGGTTGTGAGGGGACTACACAACATGGTGGGAGAATGAAATCTGTTTTCAGATGACAACCGAAATTGCAGTAGTCCTTACAGGGAGGCAGACCCTTGAGGACAGGTGTGATATTGACTTGCAATAATCTTGGTGGCAATGAGATAGTCCATTCGAATGCCATTAAGATGCGTAGGAGGCAAGTAGTTGGTCACAACAGAGATGCGAGGAAAAGTCAAGGACGTCCTATTCTCCACAAGGGTGAGAAGATGACTTTTCATTATCAGCCGGTCGTTTGTGGGCGGTTAGAGAAGGTTGCTAAAGGAGATGTGAAACTTGGAATTTTGAGGTTACTTTTGGAAAGCATTTAGAGTTTGACACAAATGTTGGAGGTATGCTTGTGGCTGCGCAAGACATGCACGAGTTGAAGAATAAAAGCCTGAGGGTTAAGTTTGAGCATGACTCAAACTTAACTAAAATTCTCAATTAGTTTGTTGAATTTTGTGGCTTAAAATTGACAACTCAGCAAGTTTTGCATCACCCATAACTTCATTTTCTTGGCCTCCAAGTTTGAGTGCTCAGCAAGCCTTTTTCGTGGTCACCAAGTAGCCTTATCAGCATGTATTTTGGTGACCCATTATTGGTTATAAATAGCCATGTCTATCATGCTTGATCATCATCCAAAAATCATCTCATCAATTGAGTGAGTTATCAGTATCAATTAGTGTGTGAGAGATTTTGGGTGTAATTGGGTTTTGGGTGTGAGCCACTTTGCCTTGTATTTCTTTATTTCTATACGAAATATTGTTCTGTCTTCTCCTCGTGGACGTAGGTATAACCGAACCACGTAAATCCTTGTCTCATTTGTGTGTGTACCTATTTAATTTCTTGTCATTAATTTTCTCTTTTGTTCTCATAAACTCCTATTCGATCCTTTTTTCATAACACTTTATCCTGTTACCTACCAATATAGACCTGTCAAACCCGACGAGCTCTCTTCACTACCCCTCTTACCACGCCTGCTAGACTGGATGCGCTTGACTTAAGTCAGAGGGAGGTTTCCTGTAGAGACAAGGACGAGGAATTTAGCGCCAGCAAGAGTTGGCTCAACAGTCACCTAGGTAACCTTGACAGACCTACGGTCCCTGTTAGGGAGAGAAAAAACCATGCTCTCCCAAGACGCTGCCCCTGAACCACCTTACACTTAGGACGGAAGAAAAAGGGAACCGTTGCTTGTTTCTGCAGGCGATTGCTCGTCGGTAGTGGTTGTAAAGCCGCGGCCTTCACGTTCAGGTGGCTGCCATTTGTTCTTTGGTTTCTAATCAGCAGGCTTGCCATGTATCTTCTGGCAGGTATCTCTGGTGTGTCCTGTTTTATGAAAGTGGTCACACCGTGGTCTGTTCTTGTTATTCCGGTTGTCATTACCAGTATAGTTCACTCCACTGGAAACAAGAGCTGAACTCTTGTTGGGGCAATGATGTTTTGATTTCCCATCATCACTTTCTTACGGCTTCTTCTCTTCGAACCTCAGAGAAGGCTTCATGGATGGATGGCATAGGCTTCAGTCCATGCCATCCATGTTTTTATATATTACTAAGACCTAACAAAAACTTGAAAATCTTTCTTTCTCAACAATCGATGTTATCTCCATTATTTGATGTTACATATCCAGTGGCAAGAGTGTTTATATATATATTTGAAGTGCCAATAACGAGTGAGTGTTGAAGTATTGAGTGACCGACATTTCCCCTTGTCGAAGATCACGAAGAAGACTCTTTATCTCAAAGAGTTCTGCAGTATTTTCATTGTCAGAGTAGGTCTCTCTTGCTGCATCCCATATTTCTTTCGCTCTCCGTAGAGTAAGAAATCCTCACCAATCTCATTTTTCATGGGATTGATTAATCATGACATCGCCATATTATTTTTCAGATTTTCATATTGTTTTTCATATTGTTTTTCAGATTTTCACACCTTGAACTTTGCATCTTCCTTCGTGGAGCCTTTGCAGAGCCTGTGAGATAATTGTCCTTACCATTGAAGATAATTCGTTGCTGTTTTTCTCGCTAGTCATACTGTATTTGACCAAAAAAAATAAATTTCTATCGTGCTCTGATATCATGAAGATAAAAAAGTACAGTAATAATTGTAGGGTACAAAGAATTTATAGGAGAAAAATAAAACTAACCTATAATTAAATCTTCTTAATTCTAAGAGCTAATTAAGGAAAGAAGATCAAATCTAATAATTGATAGATTTGAAAATAAAAAAAAATCAAGTAACAAAATCTCCTACTTTCTATATTCACAAATTCTACTTAACTAAAATAAAAATCTCTTCCCTAGGAAATAGGGATCTAAACAACAATATATGTATATATATTTTTCCGGACCCAAAATGGATCTATCATGTAACACTCACATCCTACCTATTTTAAAATTTTGATCCGAAAATAGATACTTGAATTTGGGGTTAAAAAAAACTTAGTTCAGAGTTTCAAATAAATTTCTTCAAATTTCAAACATAGCATGAATGTAATCAGGTTTCAATTAGACCAATGAAACCAAGTTCTCTCATGTGACACAGAATGTCGTATGCTACCGCAATTACTATACATCGATTACGCAACAAATTTGCATTGATTACACAATAATTTCAAATGACTTATGCATTGAATATTCAGTGCCACAGGAGGTAATGTGACATTGTATTTGTTTTCCTAATTTTACAAAAAATAAAAATTAAAAAAAAGTAATTATTATAATAAATCACTGATGTCATTGGTGATTTATATTAATTAAGTGTAGATTGTTTAGTCTAAAACAAACAGAGCCTAATAATAATTTTTTTTTTCCTGGTAAATAGCCTAATAATAATTTTCCCGGCCACAATTTGAATAGAGTCATGAATTGATAAGGTTCTCGCAATGCATGGAACTGTATTGTATTTTTTCAAATAAAGTTTTAAGAAAAACTACCAAACAGTGCTTTAATGATTTTAGAAAGTGAATAAAGTTTGATTTATTAAAAAGTTATTTCATGATTGTGGATGCAAAACTAAAGAATGTGAATTCAATCGTTTGAATTGATTTAGACAACAATTCAAAACCAGCCATGCATGAAAGTATATAACGTTTGACTAGAAGGTTTTGAAAACCATGCATGGGTCTCTCTTCCAATTGGCACATAAAAGCTAGAGATTCCAGCACGACTCAATTTCATAAATATAAGTTGTTGATTAAATAACTGAATATGCCCAATGGCACTGCTAACTAAATTAATAAATACTATGGTATAAAACTTTATATGTCAAATTTGACAACTTGAATACAATCGTTATTACATTTGTTGAATTTTCTAAAATTACTTGGAATTGTGTAATAGTAACATCACTTGCCGGTGACTAAAATGAAAAAACAGAAAAGCATATCATGTCGTTTTTAATAGTTGGTAACTTTATTAATCTACTATTAATCTGTCTTTATCAAGTGAATTTCATTGTGAAACAGCCCGGGTCCACTTGAATATTTGATTTGATACATCATCTGCAGCCATGATCATTCCCACATTTATTTTTTATTTTATTTATTTATTTTGTGTTGCTTTTGTATGTCTGGGTACAATGTCAGTTCAAATGTGATTTTACAGTTTTATCCCTGTCCATCATATTTTCAGTTGCTTGATTGTTTTTTAACATAGTTTCACAATATTACCCCTGGACACTCAACCTCCCCAAAGATCATTTTATGTTTGTTTTGCCCATTGCTCCTTAGTTCTTATAGTTTTTGAATAGCAAAACTTAGATGCATATTGTATTAAAGATAGAAAATATGGTGAATCATACTGAAGCTTCATTTGGAGAACCATACTCGCAGAATATAATATGCCTACCATTATGGCATGACAGAAACAACCACCAGTTTGGCTACTGTCCACCGTTTTTAACATGTCCAAGGTGGATTAAGCATGTGTTGCATAAATGGTTCTGACTTCTGACAATAGATTAATACCAAATATTTTTTACTATCCTAAAAGGTAAGCATAAATAAATATTAAATGGTTGATACTCTCTATTATGGTCAAAACATTACTGTGTGACAGACCTATTTCACCTTTGGTCTTATCTTCAACCAGGATCATTTTCTGATTCTTGTGTCCTTCTATGTGTTTAAATAAATGGCACAACAATTTTAATTCGACAACTTTAAACTGGTAATGTAATAATTTTAAATTAACAACGCAATAACTATGTGAAGGTGTTGAATTTTTAATTTAATGGTGTTATAAATTGTAATACGATGACAACTTTAAATTGGTAATGTAAGAATTTTAAATTAACAACGCAATAACTATGTAAAAGTGTTGAATTTTTAATTTAATGGTGTTATAAATTGTAATACGATGTAATATATTGAGTGTTGCATCTTTGATATAAATGTGTTGTGCGAGTGTTACATACGAGTGAGGAATATGATGGGATCTGAATCCTATCTACCTCACCGCCGTGCAATTAAGATTAAATTATTGTATGGTATTACATATATACATATGCAATGTGATGTCATTTATTTTTTAGGTTGGAGGGTTATTTGTATTGTCTTTATTTTTCGTTTATTGGAATGATTAGGTTAAATGAAGTCACATGATTAACTTGTTCCTTTTTTAATGTGCTATGCTCACCAATCAACTGTAGAATCTTTGTGACATTAAATAAGTATGATAAAACACGAGTTTGAGTCTAAGTGTTATTATTTTGTACAAATAGTATTAACGGTTGATTTTGTAACTAATTTACTCCTAAAAATCTCAATCAATGATAGTTTAAATTTGGATAATAAAAGATGATATAAAAAATTTTTGCAATTGAAAAAATAAAAAAAGGTACAATGAAACAACATCAGTTAGCAGTTCTCCCAGAAAGAATTAATATTCTTAAGAAATTGAAACTGACCAATATTTTATTTTCTATTCTGAATTGTTAATAATTTTTCGCTAATATCGATGCTGACCGGTTTTCACAATTCCTTGTGTGCAACAGTTCAAGCTCTTGAAACGATATCAACGAAACTGCAGATAAATTACTGGAACATTAACCAAACCTTTTGCAGTGGGGGTAATTTTTTGAATGTGATAGTCTCCGGTAGTATTCTTAGCAATGTTACTTGCAATTGTAACAACACCGTCTGCCACGTCACAAACATGTAAGGCCTTGTTTTTTCTGTCCTTTACTTTCCCCTGTAATTTATATATACCACACACACACACACACACACACACACAAGGCATGCAAATAAGGATTAAATCTTATACTCTGGATGATGCCATCCGTGTTTCATTCTTGATGCTTATGCTTGAAATTATTCTGCAAAGCCAATCACACAGTGGTGCAGACCATGGTCTTTATAAGGAAGGTTTATAGTTTAGGGTTTATTATTATTGTTTGACAACCTAGATAAATTTAAAATTTTCTTTTTCTAGTCAAGTTGCTGGTCAAAAATGACTTTTAAGTTTTCTGTTTGCATAGACTTGCAAATCAGTCCCTAATCTGCAACTACAGCAGGTCATGATACATCACTGAATGCCATATGCTTGTCTCTACTATTCCCTAGGTATAACACAGTGCTTACTGAATCTATGTTCCTTTCTCTGATTTCAGTTTTCCTTGTTTTGAATTGCAGCCAGCTGAAGGGTCTAAATTTAGCAGGAGAACTACCAGCCGAATTTGCAAATCTTAGTCACCTGCAAGAAATGTAGGTGACACATTTCAGTTACATTCAGAAATCCGTCAGCATATTGACACATTAGCCTTGTTGGTGTATTAGGTTTATTCATAAATTGCTTAAATAGATTTTCTACATTATCAAGACTATAAGAACTATTATTATTATTATTATTATTATTATTCTGGATGTCCCAAGGAGTTTTAAGTAGGTATCTGTTCTTCAATATTACCTGAGAGAAGTCTAGTGTATTATGTTGGTTCTTAATGGCAGGCAAATCTGTTTGGTTTCCTTAGTAGTTTGAAATTGGTTGCTCCAATTTTGATGGCAGATTCAAGCATGCCTACTTTTATAAACTTAAGCCCGTTTTCAAAATTATTTGATGACGATTTGATTTGAGCTCGAATACCACACTATATATATAGTGGAGGATTCTGTTTCTATAAATTTTATAATAGAATATCCATTCTTAATTAATTAAACTCTGTGTCATATTTTCTTTAAAAGTAATCCCTCCAACTACCAGTCTGGAATCTTGGCACTTTATTATTATCAGGTGACCGTCTGAAAATGATAGAAACTAAGTGAGGCTTCTTTTATCAACACAGTGATCTCACTCGCAACTACATAAATGGATCGATTCCTTCATCTTTTTCTCGACTCCCTCTGACCATTCTGTAAGTTTCTTTTTATATTGTTTCAAATCTTTGAGGGCCATTTTCTTGGTACATATATTTATTTATGGAGTAGTTGGACTGGTAGGCTAAACTTTAATAATTGGTACTCTACAGGTCCCTTGGGGTAAACCGAATCAGTGGTTCGATTCCTAATGAAATTGGTGACATTTCTACCCTTGTGGAGCTGTAAGTGATGGGACTACGTACCAAAGTTGGATTTCTACTGGAGTAATACATAATAAATAAAGCTTTTATCTATCTCTATCTTGGATTGATTCGAACTTTGTTATTTAGGGTCTTGGAAAATAATCAGCTTGGAGGATCTCTTCCTTCGAATCTTGGAAGTTTGAGCCACTTGAGCAGACTGTAAGACACTAATCAGTTGGAGTAATAAATATTATTAATTCTTGCCACGTACTATTATTGGTCTAATTTTTCTCATGCTTTTTCAAATTCACAAGGAATATTGTTTTTTCTGCAGTCTTCTTTCTGCTAATAATTTTAACGGAACACTACCAGAAGAATTCAGCAACCTAAAGAACTTAACGGATTTGTAAGTGTTAATTGGTTGGACATTTATCGATCATCTTGAGTTTCAGAAATTTTTATTACTTGTTACATCTTGCAGTAGGATAGATGGGAGTACACTATACGGGAAGATACCTGATTGGATTGGGAACTGGACAAGAATTACCAGACTGTGAGTATGATCGATATACTACTTGTTTTCATTGATCAGCAAACAACGATCAAAATTTCTTCTTAAATTTTATTGTTCAACTATTGATATCTCGAAATAAATAAATGTTCAACTCAATCTGTTGCAGGGATATGCAAGGAACATTCGTGGAGGGACCCATACCATCTACCATATCCAACCTGAAAAACTTAACTGAGTTGTGAGCACAAAGCTGACAAGCTATTGAATTCGATTTAGTTATTTCGTTTAGTTTCCATTACAAAGATAAGTTCAGAGATGTTGTATGCATGCTTATAGATATGAGAACAGATAAGAATGAAGTAATTTTATCAGTTGCATTTGATTTTCAGGAGAATATCTGATCTAAGTGGATCAATCTTCATTTTCCCTGATCTACGGGATATGAATAAGTTACAACAACTGTGAGTTGAATGTGGATATAATTAATAATTTTATTATGGCTTCGTCAGCTGACCAAGTTTATATGTTTTTGTGCCTCAGGATATTGAGAAATTGCTTAATTACTGATTCAATCCCTGCATACATTGGTGCATTTACTGCACTAAAAACTTTGTAAGTTTATTCTAATATGTACTATCATTGACAAGATTGTTTTTTGAGTCTCTCTCTCTTGTTTAGATCTGCTGCTGATTTGATACCTGTAGATATATATATAGAATAACCAAATCTAAGCTCATGCTCTGAAACCAGGTGATTCAAAGTGACTTCACTTGGACTTTTTCCTTGCTACTGTGTTCATTGTAATTATGGATATGTAATGACAATAGGAAAGACTCCATAAAATGAGTTGATGATACCTTGTATATGTGACTGCTTTATCCTCTGGACAATTTGATGCTTAAATGTATCTACCAAGGATTGTGATATCATGGAGCTGAATTGGAGTCATGATGGCTTAGAAACTAATTGCACACCTGATATTGCGGTGAGAATCTGTTACCCAAGAATTGACTCTAGAGGGGGGGTGAATAGAGTCAATGGCCAATTTTCGCAAATTATAGAAATACAATTTCTAATCAACAATATAACCTATTGTGCAATAATCAACATATGAAATCAAGATATAAAAGTAAACAATTTATAGCACAATTGTAAAAGAGATAAGAGAAGAGAAATTGCAAACTATAACACGGCGATTTTTGCGAGGTTCGGAAACTCCTACTCCTTGGCTCAAGATCCCTCTTGAGACTTCCCAATCCATTATAGCTTCTCCTTACGGGTGGAGAGCAAACCTTGATTAAAAGTAACTCCTTGCTAAGAGAAAACCCTCTTAGTCTTCCTTTGGGTCACACCAACCATTACAATATCCTTGATAAGAGACCACCTCTCTTAGTTTTACATAGGCCACACCAGCCCTTACAATTTCTTTGCTAAGAGAAACTCTTCCTCTTAGGCGTACATCAGAATTGTAGATGGAATTTGTAGTACAAGAAATCCTTTCAAGAACTGATACAAATCAAACCTCACAATAGAGTATATATGAAATCAAGTGAAGCTCAAACTCTAAGTATGAAATGTATGAGAGATGATGAGGAAAATGCAGAACAAAAGTTTTGATGAAATACTAGAACAAAAGTTCAGCAAAGGCTCACTAAATGCTCTCTAAAGTTCACTTTGGTTCAGCTATTGTGATACCCCCGGATTTCCGGATGCGGGTTGGCCAGGCCCACGCCCAATTACCCGAGGATATCAAATCAATTAGCAATAATCGAACACATAATACAATTAAAGAAACAGGAAAAAATAAAACTGCTGAAAAGAAACTAAAATGATAATCCAAAACTGAAACCTGAAAATAAAATTTTAAAAATAAAGTATTAATCTGATACATCCAACTTTTCCAATTCCAATACAACTCGGGAATCCATCTGGTGGACCTTTAATCAAAACCAATACTGGAAGGCGAACAACTGAAAAGAAGTTCACTGCTAAACCATGAAGAAACCTCCTACGTCGTCGATAGAATGAGTAGTCATCTCTGCTCAGCACGAACAAGCTCTAAGACCTGGAACCGTCCGTTACCTGAAAAATAATAGAGGGTCAGGCCCACGAACAAGTTCTATCCTAACTACAATCCAAACAGAGACCCGATACGCAGATACATCCTAGATGTCTCAACCATATCTATATAGTCCGTAATAGATAAATATATATCCACACTACAGGACTCTCATTAAACTATGCTGAGGGTCTCAACCTGAATAGAAGGCAACATGCAATACGCACCTGAGTGGGCATGACTACCTAAGCCTAACAGGGTATACTTCAACCAACATAGCTAGTTATGCATCCTATTACATATACGCACCCTAACCGTCGACTATGAGACTCAAGCTCAGATCGCGGTACCATAATAATATATAAAAAATCCGATCACATTTATCTATAAGAAATCCAGTAAGTCGTTCGGCGTATTCAACCGCACTGACTCATATGTATAAGGAGGATTTTATTTAACAACCCGTACCCTTATTCCAAAATAGGTAGGATTTTAGCAACTGGTGTTAATCCAAACCTAGTATGCCACCGTCCCATACCGGTGCATACAATCCTCCATATCCGTGTAAATTACAACAATTACATAATAGTTTAGCAATTTACAGTCTAAAACCATTCCAAATAATTGCAGAAGAATATTTAGTATTTCAGCAATTTAAATCAAAAACCATGTAAATTTCAACCGATACATAATAGTTTAGCAATTTACAATCCAAAACCAAAATCCAAATAACTGCAGAAACGTATTTAAAGTTTCAGCAATTTCAATCCAAGAGTTAAACCATATAGTTGCAGGAAACAATTAATAATTCAGCAACTACCATCCAGAGCATGCATAGATCAAATCTAATATATCAATGACTCTATCATGCATTTAAAATAAATTCTATAATCATATTATAGTCTAATAAATCGGTATATTAATTTAAGCAATTTAATTCCTTCCATCTGATAACAGCGTACTAAGTTGTATACTTGTATTCTGTCTTATCTTTTAGCACAGAGCCATGCACTATGCCCAAGTCCAATTTATTAATTTAAAAGACTTCACTGTGCTTTTAAACTTAATTTAGAATCCCCTAAATTGTCAAATTAAAACTAGACAATAAACTTCCTTCCAGCCGTTAACCGCACGCAATGTTGTTAATTAGTGCACTGTTAATTCCATTCACTTAGAGGTCAATCTTACTCAATTTAAAGATTTAATAACACCCTAAACCAACCTTATAATCCCTCTGTAAAACCCTAGAGTCAACAAAACAGTTTCCATGCTCCAACAGTAACAATACAGTTCGTAAAAAAAAAATTTTGAAAACACTATTGAAAAGAGCCTCCTCTAAAAAACTGGAGAAGGCTCTAAACCATCTAGAGCCTTCTCTAAAAAATTGGAGAAGGCTCTAAACCACCTAGAGCCTTCTCTAAAAAAACTGGAGAAGGCTCTAAGTTACAAGAGACGTCTCCAACTAAGGGAGAGCCTTCTCTAAGTTTTTCAAGAGCCTTCTCTAAGGTTTCAAGCTTATGTAACACATGCTGTAACACCCAAAACCACAGAGCTTGCTCCATTCACTTAAATGAAAACCCCTCTATACCTCTAAAACCAGTTTAAACACATGCTATAATCCATTTAAATTGCTAGTTTAAACTTAGGTAATTAAATCCTTTCTGTCCACAACTAGCATACAGAGTTGTTCAAGTTCCCTCTGTTAATTCCACTTGCGTAATTGCATCTCTTATGCACTGATAACTTATAAAAATACCTAGGTTGCATGTTAATCATCTTAGTTTACTTCCCACACAATTCCAGACTCAAGAATTGTCCACACAGTGCACCCCAAAAACCCAGTATACGTCAAAATAGGAGAAAATAGGAAAGAGCCTGCTCTTAGAATGCAAGAGTAGGCTCTTGCAAGCATGGAGCCGGCTCTTCAATTCCAAGAGCCGGCTCTTCAATTCCAAGAGCCGACTCTTCAATTCCAAGAGGAGCCGGCTCTTCATTCCTCTGAGCCTCTGTTCTCCTCCAGCCCCGTTTTCCAACCATCTGCTTCAACACCGGCCACTTCCACTCCCTCTGTTTGTTTTTAAAACTGGTACTAGGAGTCCTAAGTGAGTCCAGAACCATCCCACACTCTTATTTAAGTCAGTTTGCATTAAATAAAACCTTAGAATATTCCCCGATCAAACATGCTTAGGAAAAACAAACATTGTAATCAAACCAAACCAAACTTGCATGGACTGTAACAAAGTAAATTCATGCATACAAAAAATTGATATAGCATATAATAAGCATCTAAGATTCAATTTAATAACCAATTAAAACCCTAGAGACTCTCTAAGGATGCACAGAACACAGGCAACGGGAGAGAGAAAGGAAAGAACTTGCCTTTACAGTTTTGGATTCAAAACTATGTCGTCGTCTGCCTAAGCTTTCCGACGACGTCCAATTCACTGTTCAGTCTCCTATGGCTCAATCTTCCCTTCTCCTATGTCTGTTCTTCAAGCCACGGCCAAGCCCTCACCAAAGTTGTTCTGTCTGTTTCTCACAACCTCTCTGTTTTCTCTTTATATTATGCTGTACGTATATAGGGTTCTAAACCCTTTGAAGACACATAATAGTATATATATAGGCACTAAGAAACCCTAAGCCCAATCCTAATCCATGATGGAAAAATTAAACCCTAATCCTAGTCGGCCTTAGTTAACGTAATATAAAACCCTACAATTTAATACGCTAATAATGTAAACCTAATTAACTCATTCAAATAAAATAACAAAGCATTTAAACAATTAAAAGCGAATTTAATTCAATTAAAGAAAATAAAAACTACAATTAAACAATTTATTAATTCAAATAAACCTAATTAAAGAAAACAAACCATTTAAATAAAACAATTAATTAAACCAAACCACTATGCAAATTCAAAATTTGACACCTAAGCACATATCCACAAAATCAAATTAAAATTGCAAATAAAATAAAATTTAAATTCCAATCTTATCCTTTTGAAAACTAGGGGTATTACAGTTATGGAAGCTTGTATATGAGATGAAGATTGATGTCTGAACAGAGGCTCTATGAGTGAGTAAAACCAGAACAAAAGCTCTGTATAATGGTAGAGCCAAAAGCTCTCTTGGATGCACTTGAATGATGTTCTTGAATGCTCTCTCAAATAGTATATGAGTGAATGAGAGAGATGAGGAGAAGATGTGAGAACAAAAGCTCTCTTTGATGCAATATAATGTCTCTAAAAAATGGTCAACTTATTCAGCAGACAACCCCTTTGTATTTATAGAATTTCGAAGTTCAATATAGCTGTTAGAAGTAGTTGGGGAGCAATGAATGAAAATGTTTCCGTTGCAGTTCAAAACCCTAGAAGGAGGCAGCTCTTGTGAACAGGAGGAGGCGGCTCCCTAGCCTTGAGAGCCCCATTGCATGGAGACGGCTCCCAGCCTCTGAGAGTCTGCTCCCTATTTTGGGAGCCTGCTCTTTGGTTGGAAGATACATTTTTCGTTGAAAAATAGCTACTGGAGTTGTGAAAGCCTTCTCTTTCTTTTAT